TTTGGGTCTTTTCGACACTGCTGGTGCGTGTCGTGCAGCTACGTTTTGGTATTCCACACGCCCGCCCCATATCTAACGTGAGATACCTCGCACTCAAACAGGTCAGGAGGATTACGATCGACTGCGTCCCTTGTCATACCCTCAGACGGATGTTTTCCTGGTGTGCTTCAGCGTCACATCCCCAGCATCTTTTGAAAACGTGAAGGAGAAGTGGTTCCCAGAGGTGCACCACCACTGCCCGGGCGTGCCGTGCCTCATCGTCGGAACTCAGGTGGATTTGAGGGATGACTCTGCAGTTGTCGAGAAGCTGGCCAGGCAAAAGCAAAGACCCGTAGCTTTCGAGGCGGGCGAGAGGCTCGCGAGGGAATTGGGTGCTGTCAAGTACGTCGAGTGTTCCGCCTTGACGCAGAAGGGATTGAAGAACGTCTTTGACGAGGTGAGTGGTCTGTATACATGTCGAGTGGCGAAAGCGTGGCATACTGGGCGCCTAGGCCAAGATTACACAGCCGATGTCTGAACAGGCTGGCTGAAGCTCTCGTCACCCTTCGATATCCCAGGCAATCGTCGCTGCGCTGGAGCCTCCCGTCGTACGAAAAAAGTCGAAGTGCGCCATTCTTTAGAGGACAGGTCTCGGTACAGCGACCGCTTTTCACGAAATTTCCCGATCCACTTCTCCCCAATCCACAATATATACTGCGGCAAACACTCTTCATTCCCTCGACCTATGTTACCGCGGGGCATTGCGGAGCACAGCAAGAAAAGGAAGCTCGGAGCTATGGACACAAACAGACGATCGGATCGAGACGATCTCTCTCTTGACGACTCGGCAAGCCGGCGACTTGATGCCAGCATGCTCTAGGAGCACGCTGACAATCTTCGATGATCATCCGTTCGAACCTTCTTTTCTTGTTCCTGTCCCACTTTTCGGTGCCTCGTCACTCATGGCGCATTTGTTTCTCCACCTGGACTTGATTTCTATCGTCAAAACACCACTTGGCGTGGTCCAATTAGCGGAGAATCGTGTGAGGTCCTCCAGCCACAACAGGGTGAGAGGGTTTGCGGCAGCCTTTTCGGACCGACCAATGTGCTTGACACACCGCCGATGAAGAAGTCAACGATCGAGCGTACATGAGGCGGGAAGGTGTCTGCCTCTCGAAAGGTTCGGAGTGAGGTTCGTATATCCGGCCCATCACGAGTCCTCGTGCAGTTTTCAAGAGGGCGTTCATGGGGAAATGCCGAGTGTCTCGGCGAAGCAGTAGGCTGATAGGACTCACGATTCGTCCTTCTTCGAGAGGCTGCGCTGGTGGCGGCAGCACCGATCTGCGACCTCGGTTGATGCTCGGATCGCTGTCACCGCTTGTGGCATCACTTGTCATTACGCATGAAGCAGGTAGGTACAGGTGTAGAAGCGATGCGCTCTCTCTCTCTCTCTTTTTGCATCGCCGGTCATGATTCGAACAGCTCTCTCCGGGCATGGCGACGCTCTTTCGAGCACGCACGCCAAAGGACGTGACAACTGACGCGGTTCTTTTGGGGGAAGAGTGTGGATGCGGTCTGGAGCAGGCTAGCATGTCCGGCTGTGCAAACGCACTAATGTGAACTTTTGCGCGCTTAGTTGCACTGAGCAAAGGAGTTGTCAGACTTGCTCGCGTGGTAGACTGTGGCGCAGTAGTCGCCGTCGTCGTTGAAGATGACACGGTAGGCGCTAAGTGAGGGGGAAGCCAAAGTCCAAGCGTCAGCATGTGTGTGATGCGTCACTGCTTGCTTGACATTTCGGCAGCAGCAGCAGCAGCAGCATGGTTGAGGCCCGGGCTATTCCTCCGTGTCGGTCACTCACCCGGGAGAGCCGCCAGTGAAGGGGGTAGAGCCAGTGATGGGGAACTCGTGGTAAGAGTTGCCGCCGCACTGGAGGGTAATGTGCTCATCGGCGTATCTGCAAAAGCAAGCTTGGACAAAAGTCAACAAGTGATCTCTTCCTTCTCTTTCTCCACTCAAGACGTGGGACAACACATTTGCTGGATCACGCACTGGTAGTAAGCGTGAGGGTAGCCTGAAGGAGAGCTGCCATTCTGGTAGTCGTCGTAGCCGGTCTGCAGAGCGGTTTGGATCTGGCTGGAAGAGATCGAGTGTCCACCGCAGCTGACGCTGGATTGGCGAGCAGCGATGCTGGCGCTGGAAACGCTGCTTGCTGCGACGAACGCAACGACGAGAAGGGCCTTGAGAGAGAACATCTTGAAGAGGTACAGTGAATGAGGGTTTGAAGAGCAAGGCGAAGGGTGAGATGGATGAGCAAGGGAGAAGGTGAGCACAAAGGGTTGAAATGGAGCACCGGGCATGGACAAGTGAGAGGCTTCTTCTTATAGCATCACTTGCTCGTAGTAGATACTGTCGGTCATCCGAGAACCAATCGATCTGCTATTGGGCCCACTGCTGGGAGACTGGCAGTGGACACGAACAAGCAGCAAGCACCAATGAGAGCAGAGCGCAGCGCTGTTTGCCTTCTCAGATCGAACCACAAGCCTAACTTTGTCTTCTAGCGTCAGCACATCTGCGCGAGGGAGCGTGCGCTTCGGCACAACGTCCGAAGCTA